CATCCAAGCTGAAATATGGCAAGGAGATGGTTTTCTTAGCTTACTCAATTTCTGCAAAAGCTAAGAATCTACTTCTGCATACTTGACTGCTAAGCTGTATCCACTACTACATAATTTTTGAAATATTAGAAAGCAACCGCAGAATAAACAAGTATTAATCTTGCCAGCCAAATTGGTTACTTAGTAGTGATATTTCTACCAGGAACTATATCTTCTCTGTAGTAGTTTGCTCTCACCTCTCTTATATGATAGCGGAAATGCTGACAATTTTTTTGGCATTTTGTGCAGAAATTTTTCAATTTGCTTTAGAGGGGAATGCACTTATGGCAATTGAACTGACCGAACAGCTGGCAACTAACTTACTAGAGAAAAATAAGGACTTGCATTTTGATCTTCTAAGTCTTCATTTCGTGGAGCTTGTATGCTCTAGGAAATGGTGAGAAATAGAACAGGGTATCTCCTCAATTTTTGAATAACAGGTATTTTATATATTTATTTTAAACAAATTCCTTTCTGTCGCAGCACAGAAGCTCTGGAATTTGCACAGATGAAGTTGGCCCCTTTTGATAAGGAGCAAAAATATGTTGAAAAGCTTGAAGTATGTTTCTAACTTAGCGTATTATTTTCATGCATCTAATCTATGTGTCAGATGGTGAAAGCCATTGCTTTTACTGCAGGATTTTATGGCTTTGCTTGCATATGAGGAACCAGAGAAATCTCCAATGTTTCACCTGCTTAGCTTGGAGTACCGGCAGCATGTTGCAGAGAGTTTAAATCGAGCAATTCTTGGTTTGTTAATTCTTATAGCTACTTCTTGCACCAGATTACCTTTTAGAATGCTGTGCCGATTCTTCCTATGGTTATCTGCTGTTTATTGTTACTCTATTTGATTAGTCTTTTCTTTTACATGTAACATTACATTTGTTTGATCTATCTGTTCTTATGTTGGGTCATGAATGATGTCAGCTCATGCAAACCATCCAAGCTATACAGCAATGGAAAGGCTGATACAACAAACAACGGTAGTTAGACAATGCTTAAACCAGGAACATGCGAAGGTAATACATAGAGATACTGCAACTTACGAATGTTCAGTCATTTACTGACATATATGTTGGTGTGGAAATTCTGTCTTGAATACCTAGTCCCAATGTAACGTTAAACTTGGGCTTGTAGGATGGGCCTCCGCCATTTTCTTTGAAGGATTTCCTGAAAAGCTGAACAGGGGAAAATTTGAAAGAATTTCTGGGCGAGAAACAAGTTAAGGCTGCTTTGTGCGGATGTGGTTTTGCTGTAAGGTTTGGTCGTGGTCGTGGATGACAATATAAACATTGCCCTGCATATCTGTAAAGGTTGTGACGCTGGGATACATGCTGAATGTTGATGCACTTGTTTGAAGTTTGCCTCTTTTCGTGAATGGCCTTTTAAAGCAGTGGATTTACAATGGGGCAACGTGGGGTAGGCTGCCCCCGCTGAAATCCTCAAAACTTTTTTTATAGTAACATGTAACTACCACTATCATGTAATTATGACTAGATGAAGAAAATTTTTTACTAATTTTGGTTTTGACTGGAATTCAATTTGTATCTTAAATTTGATTAGTGTTAATATTACATAACTTGTTATTTTTTGTATTATAAAAATAAATAATATTTAGTCTTTTGGTAAAAATAAAATAAAAACCAATAGCATTGTTGAGAGTGGGATTTGAACCCACGCCCTTTCGGACCAGAACCTTAATCTGGCGCCTTAGACCAACTCGGCCATCTCAACTTGCTGACCTTGGGGCGCAGTTTTCACTAGAGCATAGTACCACATAGTGAAGCTGCACTTCAATTTAACGATACAAAAGGAAAATATCTCCAGTCGACTCCGCTGCCGATCCGCCGAAAAAATCCACGCCTCTAACTCTGCCTGGATAATGTCATCTCTGGTTTCTCTACGGCTACCAACCTCCTCTCCTGCCTCACCCACGCCTTCCGAACGACAAACTCTTCTTCGGTCCCCTTCTCCCTATAACCACAAGCCCAAGGTGCGTCTTTCCAATTTCACTTCTCGGCTTCCTTTTCTATGAAACTTTTAGCGTCGGAGCCGAAACTGAAGCTACTTTGTTACTATCTTTTCACCTCGTCTCAAGCTGAACTCAATTCAGTAATTAAAAAAATTGTGATTAGACCTTGTGACCATTTCCCTTTTTTTTGTTTTCTTAAAAGAATTTTTGTAATTACTTTTGCTCGCCTTTCGTTTGCAGGCATAATTGGGAGTTAACCAGCCCAGGGAACTTGAGATACTGTGCAATTAAGTCCAGACTCACAAAACCCAAGGAGTCTCCTGCCACGAACCCCACTACTTTACTTAAAGAACCTCATAAGTATTTTGATCAAGTAATCATCACCGTCCGTTCTGGTGATGGCGGCCACGGTGCAATCCTTAGCATGCCTGGCCAACAAAGAGCTGCCAAGTCACAAGGGAGACATGAGAATAAAGAGAAGGCAAAGAAGAAACCCTCATACAAAAGGGATTTCGATGGTTCGCTTATCCTTCCAATGGGTGGTCATGGTGGAGATGTGGTGATTTATGCCGATGAAGGAAAAGACACATTATTGGAATTTCATAAGAAGAGCCGGTATAATGCAAAACGTGGTGGCAATGTTGATGCCATGGGCGTTTTGACTTCTCAATTGCGTGATGGTCTTGCTGCCCCGACTTTGCGTGTTCCTGTGCCTGTAGGTTTGTAAACATTTAGCTTTGCATATGGGGAAATTGAATATCAATTGTAAAACGTATCTAGGAGTAGATAAGGGCATACCATGAAGATGCACCCCTTCTTTTATGTTGTTTGCATGCCATGGTTACTACTTCAAGGGTATAAGCAAAATTTAAATCCTTTTAACTGCATGTTTTCTTATTGTGTGTATTGGTATGGCAGGCACAGTTGTGAAACGCAAACGAGGGAAGTTATTGGCTGACCTGGCGCAGCCTGGTGATGAAGTACTTGTTGCAAGGGGTGGTCAAGGTGGGGTAAGAACTAAGGAGTTAATACTTTAAAGCAAACGAAAGATTCAGATTAATTTGAAACTTAATGAATGGAGGTTAAGAAAATGGCGTTTTGCATTTTATCATCTGAGGCACGCAAGTTACGTTTTTTGTACTTTGATGCCTCTTCCTCTTTTCCACATTGACCTGTAAAGAAAATTCATAGTAATCTGAATATGATAGGCTTTCAGATTATTCACAATTCAAACAACTGCAATAATTTATAGATAATAACTAGGATTCCAATCTTGTTCTGTTTGATAGACCTCCTTTCTTTTGGCGGTTCTGTTCCTAAGCATGCTGTATAACTTGTATTCTCAATATCTGTCAGTAATTGACAATTTAATGTTCTTGCTTTTGTGGCAGATTAGCTTGTTAGAAATGCCGGCACACAGAAAGAAAAGGTTGATGTCTTTAACCAGTAACGTGATGAGAGATGATAGTGATAAGGTGCCCAAGAAGAAATCTTGTCCCTTACCATAGCAATATTAAACCCAATTGGTTGCTTAAATTATGTCTATACACGGTTTGTTATTGTTTACAAGGTGATACTTCTTTCTGTTTGTTATGTTAAAATTCATTTAAAATCTTTTTATTTATTTATTTTTTGCAGGTTTTAGTTGTTGGTCAGCCTGGAGAGGAGGTTAGTTTGGAGTTGATTCTTCGAGTTGTTGCCGATGTTGGGTTAGTTGTACGTATTGCATCCAATTATTTTCTTTTCATCGATGCATCTGTACATGATTCAATTTGTGTTTTCTTCGAAACTTGTGTTTGTGGTTAGGGAAGGAAGTTCATTGAAATTCTTTGTTATAGTTTATGAATTATCATTTAACTAAAATTTCATAGTTCTGTGGAATAGCGCATCAGATTCTCTATAAAAGTTCTATACTGATTTGAGTTGCAGGGGCTTCCTAATGCCGGCAAATCAACACTTCTGGCTGCCATTACACTTGCAAAACCAGATATTGCTGATTATCCTTTCACAACATTGATGCCAAACCTTGGGCGGCTTGATGGTGACCCTGCTTTAGGGGCAGGTAGATATTCATCTGAAGCAACGTTGGCAGATTTGCCTGGTCTTATAGAAGGTGCTCATCTGGGCAAGGTAATACATTTATGAGTCTTTTACATCTTGTTAAACAGCTTATTTTGGTTGCACTATTTCTAATTGAGACCTTTTCATTGTTCAGGGTCTAGGTCGCAATTTTTTGAGGCACTTGAGGAGGACACGTCTGTTGGTCCATGTTGTTGATGCATCAGCTGAGGACCCTTTGAATGACTACAGAACTGTCAGAGAGGTTTATCTCTTCCCTTGTTCATGTTTTATCTTTTCTTATTTTATATTTACTTTATTAAACATTGTTTTGTAGGCTTATTGATATCTTTTTCATTGATGGAATGATTTGTAGTTTCACTTGCATTAAATCATCACTGGGTCCTGTCAAATGCAAAAACATACATTGGGGACCTTTTATGGTATAAAGAGATCTGTTTTACTAATAAGTTGTAACTTTTATGGCATTCAGTGGTTCTTAAACAAATAGGAGGGCTAAAGTTTGTGTTTAGACGTCACTTGTGGCTGTTTAAAACATTTAATTGTCCTTTAAGTTATACTAACACTATTAGAGATAAGTCTTGCCTCAGCCACTATCAATGTCAAAAGATATCATGTCTCAAACTGAATTAATTGCAACTCATTTTCTGCTGCCCTTACTATAATCATTGTGATGTTGCAGGAATTAAGGATGTATAATCCTAATTACCTAGAACGACCGTTTGTTGTGGTGCTCAACAAGATTGACATTCCTGAGGTAGGTGGCTTAGTGATATGGCTCCTCTCTACTCTTGAAAGTTTGTGTCTAAGTGCCTTTAAGATTTATGTACGTAAAATGTCTGATCTTATCATTTCTTTTTTAATGAACTTTCATACCTGGTTATTACCTTAGGCAAGGGATAAGCTTCCGTTTTTAACTGAAGAAATCTTAAAGATTGGAAGTGATATAGTAAATTCTGAGTGGGGAAGGAGTTCTGAAGATGTAGTTCAATCATCACCCGCTGAAGGTGGTGAAGCAGATATAATATATTCAGTGATTTCTGATGAAGATAAAATTGATAGAGATATTGAGGACTACCCACGGCCCACTGCTGTTGTTGGTGTTAGTGTTTTGTAAGTTATTTTTTTCTTCTTAAACATTGTATTGCATCTCTAATGTCTTGGCTCATCAAAAGTTCCATCTTAATACTGCATTCTGAGGTCCAAAGTTGATCAAGCCCAACCACTCGAGCTTTGTTTTGCTTTCACTCTTCCAAGGACTTAAGCAGCCTAACTGGAAGTTGTTTTACTATTGAGCAGGAAAGGCATCGGAGTAAATGAAATGTTGAAGGAGATAAGGGCAGCCCTAAGGAAGTGTAGAGATTCAAATGAAGCATTGGAATTAAGTGCGAGATCATGAGAGCGATACAGTTGTGAATGTAACTAATCCTATCCACTCAGGACTTGAATTACCTGTGTGAAGCTTACCACAGATTTTCTTCTTGTCCATTGAATCCTGAAACAGTTTTGTCGTGCACACTATAAAGCTACAAGATCGACTCTCAAAAGCTCAGAACTGTCAGATTTTAGCGCTGCAGCTTCTGTGCTAAAGTTTTGGCTGTCTAGGATATGTATATGTCTACTCAGGTGCCTACTATCATCTTCTCTCCAATGGGATTTCTAAACTACAGATTAGACCAAATGATTGCTCCAGCTTAATGTGAGAACTGAGGGCCTAGATGAATGAGAAGGCTAGACCATTGTATCTTATACTATTATCTTTGAATTAGTATAATCATGGAGTTGCTACCTTTTGTCTTATATATCTTTGGTTCTTGTATTCTTTCTTTTCTCCTTGATATCTATGGAGTTTTGGGTTCAGCTTTCGGCCACATTGTGTTCAAGGCCGTTTTGGAGGGTGCTCCCATCACACTGCACCTCCTAAACGGCAGCACACCTAGATAAGACAAGCGGAAGCTGCTTCTGCTAAATCTAGGGCCATGCAACAACGGATTTAGACATGATCTTCATTTGAAATGTAGCTCTGCGTTCCAAGTTGGTCGTGATGGGCTGCTTGTCTTCCATTGAAAACGGTCCAAGAATTCAACTCTTCTATTTTTTCTTAAATAATCAGAATCAAGAGTGCCACTATTCATGAATAAGCCTCGAATTTACTTGCTATGATCCGTAACGCATGGTTTTTAATTCTTTTGGCTTTTGCAGGCGCAGCAAAGTGAGAAAAGAAGGTTGTCGCTATCCTGGGAAGTTTTTGATAAGACACGAAAATGGAGGTGGGGGCGCTTAGAATCTAGACAGAATAGAGTTAGAATGGAGACAACCGAGTTGAAACCTGAGCCCGTATCATAGTTTTGACTCGGGAAGATTCAGTGTACGAAGGGATCTTTATTGGGAAAGATTTCGCAGCATGGGCCCCATTGGTGCATGAATGCAAGGCCATTCTTACCTGGATCCACACTGACTTCCAAGCCCCACCTCGTCATTGTACTTGGGAACCCCCACGTTAGTCAAAACGCCATTTTCTAATCGTCATTTGTCATGTTTTCCTTTGAGGAACCTCCGCATGTTCTTATCTACAACCGATCGCTCAAACACGCCGTTCCCAATAGTAATTTGACCATTATCCATCCATTTCCTCCCCCCAGAATTTACAACATCAAAGTACATTCTCCCCCCCCCCCAACCCTCCTCTTTTTTTCGTATTACGTGTTTGCCACCTGAGCTTGTGTACAGACAAGAGGCTAGGCCAAGTGTGTCTATGAGAAATGAGATTGAGCTTTGCTGTCGACACGAGCGAACAAGTTCCCCATGCCAAGTATCATCCCAAACCCATCTTAAGACACGTTTCAGGGAAGCTTAATTACCACCATTGAGCTCTTATCCCCCTGTTCTGTCATATAAATACCATTACCCCCTTTCAAGCAATGTGCTTATCAATCACTTTTCTCAATTTTTAACTCCCTACCCCCTGGTTCTCTGTTTGGAACAATGTCAACATCACTCATGGGTGGCTTTGGGGAGAGAAAACAAATCAAGAAGCCTGCACAAGCAAGCTCGAGAAAAGGATGCATGAGAGGGAAGGGAGGTCCAGAGAATGCTCTCTGCACTTACAAAGGTGTTAGGCAGAGAACCTGGGGCAAATGGGTCGCTGAAATTCGTGAACCCAACCGTGGTGCTCGTCTATGGCTTGGAACTTTTGACACCTCTCATGAAGCTGCAATGGCTTACGATGCGGCCGCCCGTAAACTGTACGGCTCGGATGCCAAGCTCAACTTGCCAGAATTATGTGTCAACCCTCAGAATCCTCCTTCTTCAGCCAATACTCCAATTGCTCCAATAGGGAACCAGCCTCAAAGCGTGAATAATTCAGGTACGAGTTCATCAAATAGCCAAATTATAATGGCCAATGATGTAAAGCCAGTTTACAACAATGACTCAGTCATGTCTTTCCCCAACGAGAACATTGGTTCTCAAGGGAACCTGGCGGAGAACAATGCGAAATTTGGCCAGAATGAAGATGGAATTGATGGGTTCTGGGAGAATATGAGCGTGAACTTGCCTGTTCTAGACGACACCATTTGGACAGAAGCTGCCATGTCATTAGATTTCCCAGTGATGGATGATCCAGGCAGTTTTGCCGGCACCGTCGTGGATGCAACTGGCTGGGACGCCTTGCAGTCCCCGTGGTGCATGTAAAGCTAAGCTCTTAGCTATGTGGAACCGATAAGTCACACATAGTCTTTTGTGCATAAATGTGTAAATAGAATTATGCAGTGTCCTACTACTGTCTACACAAAATAGTAATAGCCACGAAAACCACATGGGTTTTTCTGGGCTTTCTGTAAATATCAGTCACGTGCTCTTCTAGCCAGCTTCCATGTCCGAGCGTATAATGTCTGTATAAATCAACATGTGCAACACGTGTTGTCCTCGAATAATATCATAGACTATCTTAGGACGTGGAAAATAGAAATTGTTTCATTGTCCACCAATAGCAGTAAGTATATATACATATATATGTCTTTCTCGTTTCTTGGTTTCTGTCAGGAATGGAAGGACAATCTAATATAATCAACTTCAAAGTTTGTATCCTCGCTCTCTGCAGGTGTAACAAATTTATCTTTGATATGCAAAGGAGTCTTAGGCTTCAGTGAAAAATGACGAAAAAAGGAAGAGAAAGAAGCTATGTTTGGCTAGAAACGTCTGCGGTCTTCTTGTGTCTCTCTGCTGTCAGCATGCGCAGTTTTTTAGCTTACTTCTATAGTTCTGTTCCGTTTTTTATTCCCTCAGAGGAGACACTGGTTCGGTGTTTCTTTTTTTTTTTTTCAAAAAAAGACAAAACGTCTGTTCACACACTACTATTATTAATAAATTACAGCTATATTTCTAGAGAAAGCTAAAGAAGTGGCTTGTCCAATCCAGCAGCCACCTAGAAGATTTGACAAGAGAAGCATAAAAGGCCAAAAAGAAATCATCCAGTGACTGATTAATACGAAGCTACAAAAGATTTTCCCAAGGGATTCCAGTATCTGTTGTGAAACCATAAAGAATCAGCTTCGGTAGCATGTCCATCTTGATTTCGATGCCAACTGAAGCACGCATGTGTCCTGTTCTTGACATCGAATATACCATGACCAAAACTGGCCTCCCGATAGGCTGAGAAGCTTGGCTGTGGTTCCACCATGCTGCTTAATCAGAGAGAGAATGATCAGTTAAGTTACTAGGATGTAATCAAGACCGAAGAAATTTTAAGGAGCAATCTACTGATAATAAGCATACCCTAACGCAGGTCCATCGTGATTTCCCCCATCTCCAATGGTTATGTAGACTGGTGCAGACTGGTCATTAACAGGAGTACACATTCCATTCACAATGTTGTAGGCAATGTTGGATACACGTTTCTGCAATGTGAAATATCAGGTCGTTAATTAACATGGTAAAGTTCGCTTTTCGAGGCACTAAAGCTATGCAGGTGCAGGGGACCTTAGTAGGGGGATTGCTGCTTCTGTAAAATAGCAGAAGCACTACACAGCTCTGTGAACATGGGCGGCCAATGCTTAATAACAATTTTTTAAAACAGATGGCACTTACGGATCGCTCATAGGCATGAACATGACCGGCAAATACAACATCTACTTTGTACTTGACAAACCATGACTCGTACACCACTCTCATGGTTTCTCCTTCCATGTAATGATGCGAATTACTATTATAAATTGGGCAATGCATGAGAACAATCAGCCATGGGGTCTCACTTCTATCCACTTTAGGTAGCTCATCACGTAGCCATTTGTATTGAGGAGTGGATTTGCCTGTTAGAAGCAAAATTGGAAACCAGCAGGATAAGATGATATCTCTTCACTCTGCACACATTTACATTAGCTATATTATTTGCAAGCCCCCTCTGACTGATCCAAATTATCTAGTTCATTATGATCATTTTGCTTGCTCAACGTTTAATTCCAGCATTTCATTCATAATATATCAGCTCGGTGAAGTTGTATACTTACCATATGCTGAGTAAGAGGACAAAACAAAGATGTAAGCTGAAGCTCTCTTGATCGAATACCATAAAGGAGATGTACTATGTGAAGACTCATATGGTACATAATATCGGTGTGTATATGGCTTAAAGGGTGTAGTTTCTCCCTGCAAAATAACCACAATTGTTAAGACTATTACAACCTTCTATGCCAAGCAAAGCAACATGTTTGTGCGACATGATATGGTGACATTCTGTCTTTAAGCCTAGCAAACAACATTGAGAAGCAGATTACAGTCAAATGGTTAGAGCTTTAAGATGGAAGATGCATCTAGTTGCAGTAAGTTTAAGTCTTCGATCATTTTTCATTTTTGGGTTTTTCCTTTCAAAGTGAAAAAGAGTTAAACCACATACAAGTTCCGGAGCAAAATCAAGTTCATGATTCCCCGCAGTCCAAATCCAAGGCTGATAAGCAGCATTCCTCTCTACAAATCTTCCCCATGTATCCCACCGGACATTATCATGGTATGGATAGTCATTTGAGTATGAGAGATCCCCCAAAAACAAGACCGTTTCCCCTTTCTTTGGATTTGATTCATAATGGGTGAGTGTAACATTTGAATCATGTGTTTGACCAAGATCCCCTGTTCGAAGTGCTCTAGAATTAAAATAAAAAATAAAACTACGCAAAAATCTGTGATGAAAACATGGATAAAATAAATGAAATGGGAAGGAATCTAAGTGAAAATTTGATAAGCCAAAAATATCTTATGGAAATTGTCAGTTTTGAATAGGATTTACCTATCAGGCCAAAAGTATAAGGAACATCGGGGCCAGCTCTTGGAGGAGTGATCAACCAGAATTGTCTGGTAGTGTTTCCTATTCCAACCTCATAGAAGTACTTGGTGTTATACTGCAAAAGTAAAATAAGCTCAAGTTACTAAATATCATCCATTTTCCAAGCAACAGATCCACATATTTCTCTCAAATTTGGGCTACAATGAATATCAAATCAACTATATTAAACTTGTTTAAGGTGGAAAACCTGATTAATAAAAGAAAAGAGGAAAAAGAATACCTCCAACTTATTGATGGTGCAATGATGAATGTAACCCGAAGTGTAATTGAAGAACTTATATCTGACAAAAGTTCCATCAGCACGATTCTTATGCTTGCTGTTTTCAGACCAGTATAGAACTGTATTGGAGCCAGGTTCATCAGGAGTTATCCAGGAGATGATCACTCCCCTCCCATCAGCATCTCCTTGTGTTATATGAACCTATAAATCCCACACAGTATATCAGAAACTATATATTTGAAGTTTAAACATCCATTAAAATGTTAGAAGATGCAAAAACAAAAACAAAAACTTAAATTCCAGGAACATATCTAGCAGCTAGCAGAGCACTACTATAGAATTCGAAGAAGAAACAAACATGCCTGCTGAGGTGCATTATAACCAGGAGGAACTTGGAAAACATCACTGTCAAGGGGCATATCAGGAGAATACTCTTTCCTCACAAAGCTACTAGTTATTCCTCCATTGCAGAAGTTAGATGCACTCAATATCAAACAAAGAAGACAAATAACAAAAGGGTCAAAGACTTTCAGCACGGCCATCTGAGACTGTCTTCAAGTCTTAAACATTGAATTGTAAATAGAGGTATAAACAGCTGACGTCTGATAACGAGATGAAGGGCTGAAATTATTGAAGTCCAGATACGGGAGCTGATGACGATTGAAAGGGAAAGGAGGTCACGTGACTCAATTTTTTATTTATGGTAAAGTTTAATCTTTTACTGATTACTGTTACCACAACAACAGTAATTCATTAGTTAGTTTGTGGTTGCTCAGTTAGTTGGTTGTTAGATACATCAGTTTACCATTTGCTCGACTTTTCAACATCTTCAGCTTCCAACTTACTGGAGTCTCTGGTTCATCTTGTGCCCTCTGCATAATTCTTTACAGTTATGAAATCTGGTGTTCGATTGAGACAGAAGTGCTTGTTGATGGTGGTGGTATACTGCCTTTCCACAAAATGGATAAACTGTGTAATTATTCAACAGATAAGATAAGATCAACTGAAGAGATTTGTAAGTGGGCCAACCACCATCCAACTTTTACCTTGAAAAAGCATGAATTAAAAACAGATAACTCATTTTTCTTTATGATAACAAGGTCTGCTCTCCCAGTCCTAGGGACCAGATGCGCACTTGTAGCACAAGGAAATGAATTCATTAAGACCCGGGGTTCGTTTAGTTTAGTATTAAAACATGATAATCATAATGATAAGCACAAGTAACCAATGAAATATCTCATGGACGGTCCAGCCTTCTGCAGTGCGGCCAATGACAACATTTATATGATAAGACAGAAGTCTTGTCCACTCACTTTTTCTTTAATCTTTCGTCTTAATGTAATGTCTTATTTCTACTCATTTAACAATATTAAACTTTAAAATTTTGATAAAAATGATACAAAAATTTATTAATTTAAAAAATAAATATATATTTTTTAAAACTTTAACATGATTAATAAAAAATAAAAAAATTAAAATATTTTTTATTTTTATTTATTTTTTTAAAAAATAACTTAACTTTTAAAACCATCTCATCAGATTAGAGGCATTACGTTCCCCTAATAACTTTAATAATTAAAATTACAAATCTAACAACACATATTCTTTTAAAACAAAATATTTATTTTTCAAATCAATAAATTTTTATATAATTTTAATTAAAATTTAAAATTTTTTAGATATTTTACTCAAAAAAGAAACAAAAAAACCATCAAACATCAACCATGTCAAGATTCACCACTACTCCAGATTTGGACGGTTGATCTCCAGTGGCGTAAGGAATGATGAACAAGAACCCAAGTGTCGCATTCAGTGAGCAAATCCTACCACCCAAATATGTGTTCCCAAAGTTCTCCAGGTGGAGATTGGCATTCCATACATCTGCCGAAAGTGAGGCCTTGGGTCTAGTCTCGGCATCCGAACGAGGCCAAGGACAGCAAGTGTCCATGTCTCCTCATCCTCAAAAACCTTTCTTTTAACTGGTCCATCTTTTCAGAAAAAGCATCCTGTGATCTGTAAAGGCCCCTGTCAGTCGCAAGTCGACAAAATTTTCAATATTAAGATGGTGGGACTATAATTCACCCACAAAACGAAGTTATGTAGTATAGGGATTCTACAATGTTTAGCTGTATGCAGATTTATTACAATCAATTCAATGGAATAGAATTCCTGGGGTATTTTCCCGATCTCACAACCTGCCAGGTTTTCTTCGATTTTCAGCCATTTATTCCCAGCATTTTACGTTTATTGGCAGTGAAAACTTTCAAAATACCTTGAATGCTATAATTTGGATAACAAGCTAAAGCAACGCAGGGTAAATCTTGAATAGTTGCATTTTCCATGTCTATCAATGTAGTTCTAATCATAGTTTGGCTACATGTAGTCCTCTGAAACGCTCCAATATCTGTTATGAAACCAAAGGGAATCAGCTTCCACAGCATAACCGTCTTGGTTCCTATGCCAGCTGAAGTAAGCATGAGTTCTGTTCTTTATATCAAATATTCCATGACCAAAACTGGCTTCTCGAAAAGCTGAGTAACTTGGCTGCGGCTCCGTCATCCTGTTCAATCAGACCAACAGTTTTACAATGATAATCACCAAGAAAATGCTGATTTAAAGTAGACAAAAACCGAAGCCAGGTTGCATACTCTGTCACCAATCCTTCCAGATTTCCTCCATCTCCGATGGTTATGTAAACTGGAGCAGATAGATCACTTATGGGAGTGCACAATCCATTAACAACATTATATGCGATATTTGATATGCGATCCTGAAGTGTAAAAGTATTTGAGTGTTAGAAAATGTTCAAATTAAAGACATGTGACTGTCAGATTATGAATGGAACCATGGAAAGACAAAATATAATGTGTTTAAAGGAGAAAACACCTTTACCACAATAACTTGCTAAGTTATTTGTACAAGTGGCATTACTGAATGAGGATGTGAACTTACAGATCTTTCATAGGCATGAACATGTCCAGCAAATACAACATCAACCTTGTGCTGCACGAACCATGGCTCATAAATTACTCTCATGGATTCCCCTTCCATGTAATGATGTACATAACTGCTGTAAAAAGGACAATGCATAAGAACAATGAGCCATGACGTCTCTGTCCTGTTCACTTTTTGAAACTCCTTTTGGAGCCATTTGTACTGAGGTGTATAAATAGCTGCAATGAACATTTTAAGTAGATCATTGAGAAAATTCCAAATGTCTTCATCTGCTACATAACATACAAACAGTTCAAACTAGATGCTAAACCTTATCTTCAACATGTTAAGGTGTCTTTTACTATGACTTCTAGGTTGTTTTAATAGGAATCAGGGGGCACTGGGCAGACAACCATGGCACTGACCTTCTCTCATGAAGTGTAATTGGCTATGGAAATTAGGTGACTGACCATTTAATTTAGTGAAAAATCTACTAAAATGAAAGTGAAGTATCAGGTAAATGGCATGTCATTTTTTCATCATATTGTCAAATGATCTAGGTCTGTGATTAACAATGCGGATTCACAATGTGTCCTAGACAGACATTGTGGCAAACAAGACCTTAATCCTTGTCATTAGTCATAAATCGTCAGGCATGTTTGTCAACCCATAAAATAAGTTAAAAGTAAAATTAATACCATAAGCTGCGTAAGAAGACATGACAATGATATGTGCTGAAGCTCTCTTGATGGAGTACCAGAGAGGAGATGTACTCCCTGATGCTTTATAGGGTACATGATAACGGTGTAAATAGGGCTTGAAAGGTATATCTTCCCCCTGAAACAAAATCGCCAGTACTTCATTAATCGACTACTGATATCATGGTTTTGGTGTAAGTTAAGTCAAGCATTAATTGAAAAGGGAGAATGCAGGAAGTTGCTTACAATTTCAGGAAGAAAATCAATTTCGTGATTTCCTGCAGTCCATATCCAAGGTTGATATGCAGCATTTCTCTCTATAAACCTTCCCCAGGTATCCCATCTCGAGTTGTCATGAAGTGGATAGGCATCTGCATAGGAGAGGTCTCCCACAAACAACAGTGTCTGTCCTTTTTCTGGGTTTAACTCATAATGGGTAAGTGTTCTATTTGAATCATGAGTTTGCCCAAGGTCCCCTGTTTAAATGCATGAGAGAGTAAGGCCAGGATAGCATCCCTCATGAGAAAATTTGAGACGGAAAAATCACTTCAACAATTTACTTTATGGCTTAAATCCTTCCTACCAAGCACATTTTGTACAAATTTAGCAATTTCTAGAAAATGTTTCCATCCAAAAAGGTGGAATAAGGGAAAACAATGAGCATATTAAGCTTGAAGAAGAAAAGAGATTTGAATTGTCTGGCTATGAAGTGTTAAAGCTTTGCAAATTACAACGTATTCAAACAGATATTTTAACAATAGGTTCTGAAAACAAATAATTAAAATACCTATGAGGCCAAAAGTGTATGGTACATCAGGGCCAACTTGAGGGGGAGTTCTAAACCAGAATTCTCTTGACGTGTTCCCAATCCCGACTTCATAGTAATACTTGGTATCAGACTGCAAAGGCAATGAGATTAGCTTGAGAAGTAGAATCTAATCTATAGATTTTAAAGTTTAAACCATGTATTATGAAAAGAAAGACTGTAAAAATTAAGCTGGCTAGCAACCTCTGAAAACAAATCACAAGGGCTACAAACCTCCAAATTCGTTATGGTGCAATGGTGGATGTAACCAGAAGTGTAATTAAAGTATTTGTAAGTAAGAACAATGCCTTCTGCTTGGCGTTTGAGTTCACTGTTTTCACCCCAGTAAAGGACTAAATTTGAACCAGGTTCATCTGGTGTAACCCAGGAGACGATCACACCCTTCCCCAGATAGTCCCCTTGTGTTATATGAACCTTCAATTGTGTCATCACATAAATATCAGAAGACAACATCTGATCAAAATTGATTAACCACCTACCTTAGCATTATACAATGATTTAACACAATTAACAACCATAAAAGCCAGAGACCTGGAGCTAAGTAGCTGCTACATAATTGGGTTCATTCCTAATCTATCCATTTCCCCAGAACTTCAGCCTTCCAATTTTGCAGTAGAAACAATATAAAGACACGGGATTAATGCTATGTTTACTCTTTCTTTGAAAAATTCAATTCTATTCGGAGATAAACAGAGTAATTAATCGTTCCTAGAGTTGACCAACCTACTACACACTACATAAGATTATATATTAAAGGACAAGTTTCTTAATGAAAAATCACACCTGTTGCGGAGCATTGTAACCTGGAGGAATTCGGAACACATCACTGTCCAGTGGCATATCATGAGACAACTGATCATTCCTGACGAAACTGCTGGTTCTTCCACCATTACAAACCTCAGCTACACTAAAAATCAAGCCCACCACAATCACCAAGGCAAAACTGGCACAATCCCACCTCGCAACCATCTCTAATTCCAATCCAGTGTCTTAGAAGAAGAAGATGACACCCGAAGTCTAAGAAGAAAATGAAGATGAGAATATTCACAGTTGGATACGAATCTAAAGTCTACTTCTTCATTGCCACGTTTCAGATATCAAAGTCTTCCCTGAGTACGAAACAACGAATGAGAGACAGCGTTTGTTCGGAGTTAATCCCAGTAATGAGAAACTGATGGCGAAACGATAGACCGATAGTAGATTAAAAGAAGGCAAAACAACGAGTCAAAACGGGGATATGATTGGTAAGTTGGGAACAGGCCACGTGCGATTATTGATCCTGTGCTCTCTTCAGAAAGCCAGCGTCACCTGTCACTCTCGCTGACACGAAACCCTATTTGCCCATTTCTCCATGCAGTTGAATTTCTATTTAAAGACAGACGGAATATCCATCTTTGGGTGCGAATATAGTGAATAATTAACCATTAGGAAGAAAAGAAAAACTTCAAATTCATTTAGTAATTTACGAATTTACTAAGCACAACCAGATCTTTTAATTGGTACATGGACAGAAACAGAAGCTTGAAGTTTCGCTAACAGCTAGTTTCCTTCTGTCCGGACACATAAGCGGAATGACAGGAACAATGAAAGCTAGCAACAAGGGCTTAGGGCTTAGGCTCAGTTAAGTATCCTAACTTATGGCCTAATCTCATGTTCTAATCTCGTGAGTATATATGCAACAGGCCCAAACAGGCTAATCCATGTCCTGTAAGAACAATAAGAAAGACAAAAAAAAAAAAAAGGTAGCAGAGAACTTATTATAGGACCGAGTTTGACCTGATCAGACCAAGAGACTCTTGTCGGCAACGAATCGTACCAGAAAATGGTAGGCGGCAGCTTGAATGATTCACACAAGATTTCAAGGTTTGCTCATATAAACAATACCTTCATCGTGAGTATCTAAGCCTTGCCTCAGCGTGTTGCACTTTAGTTTAACCACACGTGGAAGTTGCAGAAATCCAGGAAATGAAGTGACCCGAGTTAAAGTATTACTATACTATCTTTTCTATTGCCGGCGACAAACCATTGTCCCATAAGTTCAAGCACAAACTTAATTGGAAACGTCAAAAGCAAACCATTCAAACTTTTACGTCAGGACAAGTACATACTTTCTTTTGCTAGGCAAATTGGTCTCTTATTTATACCAGAACTCAAATTAAGATATCCTTACCAGAATTGATGTTATAGCCTTTACCTGAGAGCAGAAGTTACAGAACAGTTTGATTTTTTGGATGGAAATAACCGAACCTGGGGTAGACCCGTTTGAGAAGTCCATTTTTCAGCCTTCTATGGAGCAATTTGTTGAGGAGACGAAGCAGAATCATGAGAAGGTAATTTGTTGGTTTGAACTTGAACAGAATCTTTTGCGCAATCTTTACACTTAGTTGAAATCACTTGGGGTAAATGTCTTGCAGGAAGACATTGTATCATCGGCCACATTGGTGAGCAATGGATGCGTGGATATCAGAGGGAGAGTTGCAGATAAGCAAACAACTGGAGGATGGAAGGCAGCTCCATTTATCATAGGTATTGACCAGGAACTAGCCACGGACATCTTGGTACTTCACAATATTATGTGGAAATTTGTTTATGAATAGGATGTTGGTCATTGGTGATTCTTTTCTCTGGTTGTAGTGAATGAGGTTGCGGAGAGATTAGCATTTTTTGCAATAGCAGTGAACATGGTGGCTTATCTGGTTTTCGAATACCACCAGTCGCTTCCATCTGCTGCCACTCACGTGACCGATTGGATTGGAGCTGCCTACGTTCTAACTCTACTTGGAGCATTTCTCGCCGATGCTTATTTGGGTCGATTCTTAACGATTATCATCTTTTCTTGCATATATGCAGTGGTAAGTAGCATTTTTGTATTGATGTTTACCATTCTATTTGCACTCCAAATCCCAGTTTATGTACATATATAGATTCCATCTAACCTCAGAAAGAATTGAAAGCAACACACTGAAAGGTGCCTAGATTCTGAAGTCAGAGAAGAAGTTAAATGGATATTGAACTGGATGACGGGTTACCTCTCCTCTGTTTAGTCCTTGGAAACGCTTAGATAATCTGTTGGGCTAGATCACCCAGTCAGAAGTCTTACACATGGGCCTATATGGGCTAAAGTCATAGTTAAGAGACCAAGATAATTGCTTAATGCCCAATTAGCAGCAGTAGTCCATCATGGATCTGCTCGGTGTTGGACCATATAATCTACAAGCCCTGTTTCCTTTTTTTTCTCAGGGAATGGTCTTGTTGACGCTCTCGGCCTCCATAGACAGCCTACGTCCCTCCATGCACGGCCAGACCATGCACAAAAGCAACCGACAACCAATCAGCTTTTCTCTTCGTTGCACTGGCTCTTATAGCCCTTGGAACTGGCGGTATCAAACCATGCGTTTCGTCCTTTGGAGCAGACCAATTCGACGAAGCTGATGAAAAAGAAGTCCAGAAGAAATATTCGTTCTTCAACTGGTTCTTCTTCGCCATTAACATGGGCGCCCTCTTGGGTATCACACTATTGGTTTATATACAAGACAAGAAAGGATGGGGCTGGGGTTTTGGAGTTCCTACTGTGGCTATGGTTTGCTCTATTGTCATCCTAGGTGCCGGAATACCTTGTATCGTTACCAAAAGCCCATGGGAAGCCCTTTCACAAGGTTTCTTCAGGTTATCGTGGTTTCTGTGAGGAACCATTTTAAAGGGGTTGGATTAGGACGTGAAGCTGTCCTATATGAGGTCAATACACAAGAGTCTGATATTTTTGGTGCTCGAAAACTTGCTCAAACCAAACAATACAGGTAATTAATGCTCCTTCCGTCTCATATATTAATTTGAGATAAAATTAATATATATGCAAACAATACTGTAGAGACCATCCTGATGACCTGTTGTTGAAAATTACTTTAAGATTTTACTTAAATTATTAGTAAATTGGCCTTTACAGGTTCTTGGACAAGGCAGCAGTGGTTACAGATCCTGAGGGTAACATTAAAAATCGCTGGAGACTCTGCACAGTAACTCAAGTAGAAGAATTCAAGTCCTTCATCAGAATACTCCCTGTATGGGCATCAACAATAGCTCTTTCCATCTCATTTGCCCAACTCTCAACCTTCTTTATCAGCCAAGCCACCATCATGGACCGAAAGCTAGGTCCCAACTTCACGATTCCAGCAGGTTCAGTCCCTGTCTTCAGCGCCATCAACGCCCTCCTACTAGTCCCTATCTACGAGAGATGGATGGTCCCAATCCTACGCAAACGCACCGGTCATCACCGTGGCATTACATCCTTACAACGAATGGGTGTTGGCCTATTTATATCAATCTTCGCTTTGGCGTCAGCAGCTTTGGTAGAAAAGAAACGCCGTGACCATCCTAAACCATCGTCCATGAGCGTGTTTTGGTTGCTCCCGCAGTTTTTCTTAATAGGCAGTGCAGAGGTCTTCACTTATGTGGGACAACTGGAATTCTTTTACGATGAAGCGACTGATGGGACGAGAAGCATAAGCAGTGCAATGTTTCTCAGTGAGATTGGAATAGGGAGTTGGCTAAGCACTGCATTTGTGAAAATCATTGAGCGTGCAACTGGTGGGGATCAGAAAGGATGGCTGAGAAATGATCTTAACAAAAGCAGGCTGGATTATTTCTACTGGATATTGACTGCAATCAATGCTGTTAATTTCTTGGATTACTTGTGGGTGGCTTGGCGATACAAGGGAAAGAATGGCCTCGGGGGGAGTGCCAGGGTCAAGACCATGGCCGAGCCCGCTGGTGATGACAGAGGGGAGTTTCAAAGCGTGGTGTTGTGAAATCCAAGCAAGAAAAATCACTTCCATTCATCTATGGTTTTTTCTTAATTATTGAAAAACTTATGATGTCTGACTAATTTCACTATGCAGATGAACCCCATTGATTTTTTTTTCTGATATAATACAATTTCCTTGTACTGCTAAAGATTTCCAATTTTCATAATGAAAAGCTAATAAACAGTTTGAGTCGATGGAAGTTAAAACGTAGTATAACCATAACCTGTTTTGGGGGGTCAAGACACGCCTAATTATACAAGTACATGATGAAAATACAGCGGAGCAGGCATCTCCCTAATGCAAGCAAAGGACTTTTTTTCACTTTATATTCATTAGACTGGCAAGAAAAGTTCAGAACTACGAACAAATTTGCAATTAGGACAATTCCGTTGAGACAAAAATCTTGTTTGGACTAGAAAGACTGATTACTTAAAGACACAAAGGTGAGGAAAACATAAAAGAGAATGAAAGAAAATGATGCCATATGCCATTCACATCATTAAAGGCTAAAGCACCAGATTAATAAAGAAAACAATTCGCTTTTGCAAAAGTGTAAATGTGATAATTGGATATTCTAATGATGCCAATCTTCTTTAATGAAGCCTTAATCTTGGGATCTGTTCGTCTAGCATTAATTCTGACGTCAAGCACAGGACTTTAACAGATGATGAACGATTAAGCCAAGACTTTTCTAGCTAGCTAGGACTGACATTCATGGAGTCAATCTCTTTTAACTTTTAAGGGCTTTTTAAAGAAATGGGTAAATACCAGAATAGCAAATTGAGGACTTCCTTTTGTTTTTTTTTCTTTCTTATAAACCTTTAGTGGGTCATATCAATTTCCTCTATCTTCAAAAGATGCTAGTATATGTTTGTCACTTCTCTTGCATGCATGTCATTTTCCCTCACTGCCTTCCAAACAAGACATAAAATCTAGCTACTTACCGTCCAAATGTAGGCTGTGGTGATACCCTGTCGGTGTCTTTCTTAAGCTTCGATCATGTTTTTGCAATCAACTTGTTATAAACTTTCATGATGAAAGATCAAACAAAAAGGGAAGATTGAGAAATCTCATATGTGATTATTTCTTCGCTGCTGATTGGAAAATTTGTATAATATGAGAGTGGTTACGGCATGTCTCCCTTGCATCATTGGTCCAAAACAGAAATAGTACATTGAAATGAGCATTGTTGCAAATGTGGGTCCATTCACACCATACATCATAATGAACTTGAGCATTACCTTCATAAAATTTGCATATATCAAACCATAACATTAACATATAAAAAGCATATGGGATTTCAGGCCCCCCATAGGCCACACAGGGGTGACAGTGATAATCATCATCATGTTCATCATCATCCCCTTTCAAAAACGCTTCTTTTTAACCCTGTCTACTACTTAAACAAAGCCACTGACTAAAAAAAAAAGAGGAAAAGAAATTGAAATTAAAATAAAAAAAATTCATGCACACACAAACTTTCTGATATAGGTAGTGCTTGCCATTTCTTTCTCCTTTTTCTCTTTTTTTTTTCCTCCAGCCAGCACTGTGGTTAAAAGTTAGGGGTTTCCTAGTCAAACGTTTTCTGTTGAGGGAGGGAGGAGTGGCTGAGTGAGGGATGTCTTGATATGGCTTGGTGTTCTGTTGTTGCTGTGCTCTGGAGTTGATTGAATGGCTGCCTTTTCTTGAGCTGCAAACTTTCTCTCTTCGCTTTTCCCATAAAGCACTAGGTACAATCCCACTATGATCAAAACTGCCCCAATGATCCTGTTAAATAAAGAAAACAGCGTTCAATTCATGTACACTGGAAAAAAATTAAGGTGTCAAAGACAGGTTGCCAAGCTTAATGTACGTAAGGCAGATATATATTTTGATCCTACGGCTAGGGATGTACATATGGGGGGTGGGGGGGCAACTTTATCGGATGATTGATGAGTTTTCAACTAGGGAAGCACAGATGATGGTTGAGAAAGAGGGAAGAAAAGGACCCACTTACCCTCCCAAGTAGAACTCTTCCCCTAAAGCAATGGAAGCCATAATGGCGACAACAAGAGTCTGCACAGGTTGATAAACAGCAACGAAGACAGGGCCACCTCTGTCGATGCACCATATCTGTACAGCGAATGCAATCCCTGATGCCACCACACCCTGCATTTTCCACACAAATTTTAGTTTTTGGTCTCATTTCATTTTCATTCACCCACCACGTACACCACTCGCATATTATTGCATAAACCACTTTATTCCTAATGTACTGCAGCTTAACAACTCTGGAAGAAATCTTTTAGAATAAAAGGGTTAATATATTCCATGAACTTGGACTGAAAATATTGCCCTACCACCAACTATTTAACACAGGTTTAAACGGTACAAATTTAGGCTATTGTTTCTGATGTTAGACTTGACGGACATTTAACTTTGCCCCAGGGAGTACATGGGGTTCCCTCCCCTCTGGGTCTTGATAAGGCATATTCATGAAATAAAAAGACAGCACACTAACTTTCCCAGGACAGTTCAGAAAGATTTATCATAGACCATGAAACATTGCTTTTGACATGGATGCACATTACGAGAAAAGATGCAGCAGCATTCACCTTATTGCTTATGGTTGAGCGAATCCCGTTTCACACTATGTGAAAAGAAGAAAAAAAGCAGATGTCTTGCCAACAATTTCAAGAAAGAATAACTCCCCCATGTGCCACGATAACTTTTCTCTCTGGTTATTTTGAAGGATTCTACTTTCCGACTATTTTTAGTAAAAAATGGAAAGAAAATTCTTTGAACTGGTTTACTAGTAAAAGAACTGATGAGATACTGACCGCGTAGAGAATTGTGAAGAGTTCTCCGCCAGAGTGGAACATCCAAGCTTGAGGGTCTCTCTCAAGAAATGCGGCAATGATCAGGAACTGAATAAGACCAAAGAAACAAGTGTAGGAGGTCACAGAGAGTCTAGCTGGGTACTTCTTCAGCACTGGTGCCTGCAACACCAGCCAACCGGACCAGGACAAGCAATGGCCAATTAGATACAGGCAACCAAGGGTCCAGTTCTTTCCCTTTGCATCTCCCAATGAAACAAACATTGGTGTGGGTCTATTCAGCGGGGGAGCTGGGCTGTATATGGTTGGACCTTTGTATATAGTGATCACTGATGCTCCAGCCACACACAACGCTGTTCCTATAACCTTCGATATCCCATCTTTTCGATTTAGCCGCACTTTCTCTATCCTGAAAAACAAGAACATGCATATGAAAATAATCAGACACGTTTCATATCATGCCCCCAGTCCCTGTAGAAGTTTATACCAAAGAGATCCTGGGCTTACCTTAGTAAGGCTGCCATGAGAAAGGTAATGGCTGGGACAGAGTTTTGGATTGCTGATGCAAAGGTTGGTGATGTGTTATCCAAGCCCAGCAAGTAGAAACCTTGATTTGCTGTGATTCTGTCACGTAAAAGAAAATGAAAAAGGACCACAGTTAGTTTTGCTTTTGTCCTCACCTCATTGTGATGAATTAACTTGTAAATTGTCTCCTAGTTTCTTTCTTTTTTTCTTTATACTTAGAGGTTTAGAGCGTGATCATGCGTACCCAACAAGAGCGAGGAGGAAGAACTGAAGAAGAAAATTTAGAGTAATAGCTGGTCTCTCCTTCCTGGAAAAGGAAGAAACATTTGAAAAACAAGTTATCAACGAGGGTGGAGTAATGAGGTTTATGCTTGTATATGGGAGTGTCAGTAGTGATTTACTTTTCAAGAAAATATGCAAAAGGAAGTAGCAGAAGCAACGCAATGATGTTCCTATAAACTGGGAAAACAAGTTTGCTAATTCCCATGTTAAGGGCAGCTCGGGAGACCACATGGAACCCTGCATAACCAAACTGCAAGGCCAACATGGCCATGTGCAGCTGGAGCCTTTCAGGAACCGAACACCACATCCTACCAGAGGCTGAACCACCAGCATCAGCCATTGAAGCAAACACTTGAGATTAAAACAGAAACTAAAATTAAATAAAAAACAAGTGATATTACAAGAGAATAAGGAGAGTTGAGGATGGTGAGCTAGGGAATGAGGTAGTGGTATAAATATAGTTGTAGGGAGGGAGGGAGGAAGGGATTGTAATGTTGAAGGTCTGGCCCACAATGGCCCTAAAAAGACGTTATGTCAACTGTTCTTAGCTCCTTCAAATGTTTTTGGTTGTCTCCCACATTCTTCACTGTTCCACCCTCCTTAGATGACAAGACAACCCCCAATTGCACTACTGCTTACAACAGGAAGGGGAAGTGAGAGAAAAATTGAATAGGAAAAGGGGGTGAAGATAAAAGAAAAGAAAAAGAGGTGATTATTTACTACACTATTAGCTAACAGGTTCTGTTTTGGCACCATGCCATTAATGATGATAAATGAAGGTGATAGAGTGAGCCGCCATTGATAGATAGCGCGCACGGGCGGGAAAAGGTCGCTACCCCATGCGTTCTCATGCCCCATGAAAGCCTTCAACCCCACTGTCAAACACCACCCCCCCCCCCCCCCCCCCCCCCTCTCACATTCTACTAAGCTTAACATCTTGTATTTTCCTCTTCTTCATTATTTTAATACATAGTAGTAAAAGATTTCTACACTTTGTGATCACCAATATGTACTATTATATACTCTAGAAGAGACTCATACCTTTTTCCTTCTTCTGGTTGTTAACAATTGAATTGAATAAATTAATTCTCCTAGTACTCCCCACCATTCCAATAAATTAACAAATTCTTGTCGAGGAAGATCCCACCGATTATCCATTGGAACGGGCCTGATGATTTGCCAACTAAGCTTGCCAATGGAGAATTAATTGTTGAACAAATGCTGCAAACAATCAAGATCAATCCATGGTGTATTAAATAATTAACTAATTATTTTTTGAAAAAGGAAAAGAGAAATCATGCAACAATCAAAACAATTTAATTTTATTTGAAAACTAAATAATTAACTAATCGAACGATACCATTATCAGCAATAAAAGATCATTAGCTCAAACAAACTAAA